CTATAGAGTGGGGAAGTCCTGCATGGCTTCTCTCCTCCTGCCCAATCCCTGCCTTTCCAGCAGTCTGGACCACGGAAGACCTTTGTCATCCTTCAGCCAATGGAGCACCACCGTCTGGTCCTGTCCACTTCTCCCTCATCACTCCCTCCTCTCTAGCCCCACCCTACTGGCCTTGCTGTTCCTCGAACCTGCTGGCTGTCTTATTGTTTGGTGGGTCCTCGTGCCTAGGAAAATGTCTGCATTCAGTAAGTGCTAGGCAAATACTTTCTGGCTTAATTCATCTACATGCCTTTAAAAAAGATTTATTATTTTTATTTCTGTGCATGAGTGTCTGTCCGCATGTATGTATGAGCACAAAGGTACATGCTTCGTGCTCATGGAGGTCAGAAGAGGGCGCCAGATCCGATAAAACTGGAGTGTCAAAGGTTATAAGCTACCATCTGGGTGCTGGGAACTGAATATGTGTCCTTTGCAAAAGCAGCAAGTGCTCTTCACTGCCAAGCCAGATCTTCAGCCCCCATTTTCATGCTTTTGACTCCTCCAAACTCTATGTGGAGTCAGGAATGCACAGATGGTAAGAATGGCTCAAGACTTGGAGAACCAAATGTCAGCCAATCCTCTCATTTGGAAGGCTCCAGAGGATTCTCAGAATCCAGCTACCGGAGCTCATATCCTCCTCTCATCGCTCTGCAAACATATACCACTTGCTGAGCTACCGTATCCGAAACTTAGGACTACCCTTGCTTTTGCTCTCTCTCAGCCTTCCCTGCAATCAGTCAAACCAAGTCCTACTGAATAGGCCATATTTTCCCTCCTATTAACTTCTCCCTCCAGGACAGCCTCTGTTCCAATGTCTCTACTAGTTAAGGTTTCTCGGGCTAAGGCTAAGCTTAGTTTCTCAGACTAAGGTTATCATCTGCTTTTTAGGTTTTGGTCTACTGAGGTTGAATCACATAACTCCCCAATTTTGTTTGGAATACTTTATGTATAGTTTTGCTCAATATTTGCCCTTTCAGTGCTGCCACCTACAATTCCTGAGTTCACAGCCTCTGGTGTCCTCCCTGGGGCCATGTAGACGAAGTATCTCTTCCCTGGTCCCTCCTCCATTCCCTTCTCTGCTGCCCTCTGACTCAAGGCCACGGCTCTTACCCTGTCCTATAGTCCTGTGTCCTGGAGCTCTCTATGCAGACCAGAATGGTCTTAAACTCACAGAGATCCTCCTGCCTCTGCCTCCGAGTACTGGGATTAAAGGCGTGTGCTTTGTTTTTTGAAACAGGAACTCTCAATGAAGAGCTGGAGCTTTACATTTTGCTTTTTTGGTGGGCCGTGGCACTCCTGACTTGAACCCCAGTGCTGGAGTTACAGCTCTATTCCACCACGCCTGTTCTGTTTGCTTTTGAGGGAGGTTTCTCTATTTAGTCCTGGCTGTCCTAGAATTTACTATGTTTACCAGTATGGCCTTGAATTTACAGTGATCCTCCTGCCTCTCTTTGGGATTAAGGCAGGTACTATTGCACCTGGCTAAGCCAGTTTTAATTTTCTGTTTGTTTGTTTTCATTTTAATGTGGGCACTAGGGATCTGAACTCCTATCCTCATGCTTGCATAGCACACACTTTCCCTGCTGAAGCATCAGCCTAGGCCCACACCTTACCTATCCCCCTGGCTTCCATGTGGCACTGTTTCTTGCCTACAGGGACTTCCTGACACTTCCCTGTCCCTACTACTATCTCTCCCCATCACAGGTGTATGATCTGCTTAAAATGCAACTGTGGGGGCTGGAGAGGTGATTCAGTGGTTAAAAGTACTTACTGCTTTATCAGAGTGAGTACTAGAGTTTGTGTGTCAGCATCCACACCAGGAGGTACCCAATAGGATCTGACATCCCTTCCAGGCACCCCCCCCCCAATCTTTTAAAAACTGGTGATGTGGTGACACACACATCAAAGCAGAGGCAGGTGGATCTCTGTGAGTTGAGGCCAGCCTGATCTACACGGTGAGTTCCAGGCCAGTCAGTGCTATACAGTGAGATCATGTCTCAAAATAAACAAACAAATGTCAAACTTAACAGTGACTTCCCTTTCTAAAATGTCCATAACTTTTTTTTGTGGACTTTGATTTAGGGCCTTTTCCCCACCTACTTTTCTCCATCCTGGTTTGCTTTCAGTTTGTCAACATTCAAGTCTAGACTCTAGAACTAGTGTACTCACTACCTAAGACCCTCCTTACAGAGTGCACACCCCTTATTTAGCAGGACTTTTCACAAATGTAACTAATTATTTGGACAATGCTTACTGTTTCTCCGAGTTGTTTCATGAAGGTAAAGATGACTCTCCTATCTCTTTCCTCCCCTTCCCATCATTCCAACCTGGTTTATTCACCAGTGTACACTCAACGCCCTTGGAAACTAAGATGCAGAGAACCCATTGCTCCCCTCTGCATAGGTGCTGAGTAAACCCAGTGACCCAGAATGGACCTTCCAGGCTCACCCAAGTGAAATGCAGTAGTTGGTCTAAGTTTAGGCCTGGGGATGTAGCTCACTGGTAGAGTACTTGTATATGTGGGGCCCTCAGCTGGATCCCCAGCAACTCCCCAGTGTCAATTGAGGGGATATCAAGATGGGGGATATCAAGACTTCCACTTGGGTTGGACCAGTTACCTGGTCCCTTCAGTGATAAGACAGAGTGACTGCGACAGCACAAAAGATGAATTTGGAAAGGAGAACTTAGTAACTCCAGTCTCTCTTGGGAGATGCCCACCCTCTCTTAGCCCGGGCATGCTAGCCCCATCATGCAACTCTCCTGAAAAGGCAGCCCCTCGAGAGATGTAACCCACCCTCAGCCTGACTGTTGATACTGGCTGGTAACCTCTGCAGGGACAAAGACACTTGGATGCTCTATAAAAGCCCAGTTTCTAGGGAGCTCTTTTGGGGATATATGTGATGCCTTTAGGTTTCTAACCAAGGTGTAGGGGCTACAAAGTTGTTACTGGGAAATTCCTCATTGTCTTCAAAGGAAAAGTCTTCCTCCTTAAGGTTCTGTGGCTGGGTGTTCTGGTAAGGGGACCATCATCTCCTCCTGTCTTTGGACTGAGCAGACATGGTTCAGATTTCAGAGCTTGCCACGTCTCTCTTCCCACCCTCCTCTCCACTCCCAGCTTTCCCTGACATGTCCTTCCTGCTTGGGAGTGCCTCCTAATATTTTATCCCATAGTTCCGAGCTGGGGAAGACCTGACCTGAACTACTAAATTGGCTTCCTAAGTCAACCTGCATGTCATCCTAGGATTTCCGTAAGACTTTTCAAATTCCAGACAGCCCACGGAACCCATTACTTCTTGATCAGAGATCACTATTTAGTGGCACCTAAGAAATGTGTCAATCATTGTGTCATGAGTCCTGCTGAAACACCTCTGATGGGGGCTGGAGAAGGATCAGCAGTTAAGAGCACTGGTGGTTCTTACAGAAGACCTGTTTGATTCCCAACTATCCGTAGCTCCTGTCCCTAGGGATACAACATTCTTTTGACCTCCGAGGGTACCAGGCATGCACATGGTACATAAAAATACATGCAAGCAAAATGGTAATAATATATATGAAATTAAATAAATCTAAAAACATTTAAAAAGCACTTCTAATGATGGTTAAAAACAGTATCTACAGACTGCAATATAAAGCATTAATTTCCTAATCCTCATAACAGCTTAAAATGTGGATGATACTATTGTGCCCATTACCTGAAAGGAAATGAAGGCACTGGAGATTTGAGAAACTTTCCCAAGATCACAGGGCAGGTTAACGGCAGATTCACACACAGGCAGCCTGGCTACATCACCTCTCCTGATGCCAATGGTGTGGCCCAGACCTGTACTAGAGGCCTCTCCTGCCTCGCTGGCAGTCTTATCTACACCAGAATCTTTGCTTGCCCCCTTCCCCTGCTCAAGACATCTTTCCCTTTGCCTCTACAAACACCGTTCTGCAGGGTTCAAATTCCCTGTACAGCTAACTAAGCTACCCATCCTCTCCGCCCTGAGACGGCTTGAGAGACTCCCAAAGGACTAGATACAAGCTTGCACCTTTCAGACACTCTATTAGAGGGTGCGGGGCTAGTGGGATACTCTGGGAAACTTAGACAAGGTAAGAAGTGTCTGCTACTCCCCTGGAGTGGAGAGGCACTAAGTGGGAATTGAGAGCAGACCATGTGCCCGCAGAATTCCTGGGAAGCCATGTCCCAGGAAAGGAGTCCTGGGAGCTAAGGGGTAGCAAGGGGTCTAGCCCCAGGGTCTTCTCCACTTCTCCCAGGCCCTCTTGTAAAGTCACGATGCAGCACAATGCAGGCGCTAGCAAACACTATTTCATCCCGATCCCCACGTCAGGTCTCGGAGGCAACAAGGACATTGTGGGGAGCAAGGGATCCCACCATCTAAGGCCAGGCAGGTGCACAAACCCTGGGAGGCGCAGCGGGGGAAGTGGGATCTCAGATGGCCGACCCTTGAAGCAAGAGCTTTTTATAACCGTTAGCAGGGCACTCATGAGCGTCCAGAATCGGGGGCCTGAGGACACGGGGATGCAGCAGCCGCCTTGGGAGGGAGGGAGTCACATGACGAGATAGGCCTCCTCGGTGCAGGCCACAGGAGACAATTAGAGAAAGGGGTCCGGCCGACCCCCTCCCGGGGGGACCGTAAGGGAACGCTAGCAGGGGGTGCCCTGTGTCAGTGCTCTCCGCGACTCTCCTAGCCCTAGACCCGGGGCTGGAGGGGAAATCACCTGCTCCGTCAGGCGCCGCCGGCGACTTGTCCCGCGCGATGCAGTTCTTATCCCCTAGCCCCACCAACGAGATGAAAGGCGGGGCCCAGAGCTGTTCGCTTTGGAGGACGCCGTGGTGGCCATTTTTGAAAAGGCAATTTGCCCATACCAGGGCGGGGCTTCTTCCCCCATTCTCAAATGGCTCCGCGTTTTGGAGCCGCGCGGCTCGCCGGCGGCCATGTTTGTTTTGGGTAGAGAGGCGTGGCCGACGTGTTCTCTTTTGTCCGCTAGAGGTCCCGAACCTTTCCGTATTTATTTCCGAGAGAACGCAGGATTTTCCTGCCCGCCTTGTTTCCTCGCCCCCAAGGACCCTCACCTGGAAATTCTATAGGTTTCCCTTTCCTCTTCCTTGTCTGTCTGTCCTGCCCTTCTTTAATTTCTGCGGCGCCCCGACTGGATGTGGTGTCTCCCACTGCAAGATCTAAGGATCTCCAAATCCCAGCATCTCCCCCTTCTGGCTTCAGGCCCTGTCACTCAGTCAGCTCTAGGGCCTGGATCCCAGGACATTATCTATCCCTCCCCTTGGTCCCTTATTGATGTCTTCCCGAGAGTAAGGTGGATTACAGGGTCTTCGGAAAGTGGTGAACATTAAATGCTTGGAGTGAGGATAGGCCTGAGCCTGATCCAGGATGGCTTGCAGACCTCCTCCACACCCAGGGCCCTCCTGCTGCACTGGCAGGGCTAGTAATCTAGAAGAGACAGGACAGCTACACACCAGGACCTAGTAAGTAAGGCCTCAGCTTCCGCTCCCTGTTCCTGCTACCTCAGCTTCCCCACTGCCGAGGGGCAGCCCTCAAGCATGCCGTCTTTTGAACTCAAAAATGGGTGCCAAGAATCCCTTTCAGTGGTCGGCTTTCCCATCCCAATCCGCAAGGAGGGGCCTCCTTTCAGTACCAGTAGGGTGCCAGGGACCCAGGAGCTGTCGTTAGCCTCTAGAAACTCCGTCCCAGACAGAAAGTCCCAACCCATCCCCCAGAGACTGAAGCAGTGCCAAGATTCGGAGAAAAGAGCTTTCTGCCCTCCCTTCCTTCCCCTGTGTCCCTCTCCACGGCTCCCTCCTCCCCGGCGGGTGGGTGGCTGCTGGGAAGGGGGAAGGAAAGAGGAGAGCGAGGAAGCAGCTTGGCTTCTCCTATAAAAGCTCTACTGCTGCCAGACTGACGCTGCTAGGGTTAATAAGAGGAGAGGTGACAGCCACTTTGAACTCTAGCCAAGCAGGCCTCTAGAAAGGGACCCATGGTCTCCCCCACTAGCCCCAGGCCCCTGCCAGCCCTCCCTTTTGGGTCCCTGTTTCCTCCTACCCTTTACCCATTGCACAATACCGATGACTTCATTCCTTACCACCCCCATTCCCGGAACTTAAAGGTTTCCTCAGCAGGCCTGCCTAGAGTTCTGACCCAAGACCCCTGCAGCCACCCCGGGGTTGTGCCTTCTCCTCCCCACCTCACCCCCAATTCTTGCTTGATTGGCTATTGGGTGTAGCGAGATACCAGAAAGACCATCCTGAATTCTCAGGGCGAGTGAGGCCAAAGGTTTCTAGGGGGAGACCCTCTAGTCCTAACTCAGACTCTGGGGAGACCTCACTCTGTGCAGACCGGTCAGATTCCAGGGGCCCCAGGACAGAAGGTTGGGCAGAGGGAAGTGACTCCCACAGACAGAATGTCAGGTGGCTTTTCCATGAATCTCTAGATAGACCAGCAGTTCTCCACTTTCCTAATGCTGAGACGCTTTAATACAGTTCCTCATGTTGTGGTGAGCCCAACCTTAAAATTCTTGTCATTGCTACTTCATAACTGTAATTTTGCTACTGTTATGAATTGTAATGTAAGTATCTATGATTTCTGATGGTCTTAAGTGACCCCTGTGAAAGGGTCATTTGACCCTCAAGGGGGTCACGACCCACAGGTTGAGAACGGCTGCTCTAGAAGGCCATTTGCTAGATAGAGTTTCCACAGCTAATCCGACCTTGCCCATAGTTGCTGGGTTTATCCTCTAAATTCTTACTTTCCCCTTCCCCACGATGGGAGCCAACTCCCCTGAGTGCTGCTAGAAGCCCCTGGCACAGGGGGTGGGGAGGCCTAGTGCTGCTGCCTCCTCTCTGTTCCCTTGGAGTATTTAGGCTGCAGGGTCTCCTCAGTTGACAGAAAAGACTAGGAGTCTATGCTGTATGCTATGCTCGTAATTCCCTAGCCTATGCCTCAGAACTAGGAATCAGGTTTGAGTTCAGCATCAGGGCCAGGGTTCCTGGCACCATGAACAGCAAAAGAACCAGAGGGCTGGTCTTCAGGAGTGCGAGGAGCACTCAGGCACTGGAATAAGGAAGGGGGCACTTGGAAGAATGGGTTGGGGCAGGGTTGTCCCAGCTCTGGCTTGAGGTCAGAAAGGGCCCTGGGCAGCAGACAGCGTGCCTGGCCCTCCCACACCATCCTCCTTTCTCAGAAGAGCCTGCATGGGTGGGTGGGGCTCTGGGGCAGGGCAAGGGCCTATTTAAGGAGCTCCACACAGTTGGTTGTTGCAGATCCAGTCCCAGGAATACCAGAGAAGAGGCTCTGTGGGTAAGTGCTACTCCTTTCCCAGGGTTCAGCAGGGCTGCGGGGAGGGTAACTCCTGGAGTCTGCTGGCTGGCTGTCCCTCTCCAGGGATGTGTGAGGCTAGCACCCAGCTGTCATTTGACTCTCCAGAAATTGGAAGTGCATTTCAGGGAAGCCTTCCTCATCCACTCAGCTATCCTAAACACTCAAGACCATCATTCAAGTGGCCGATTTTCTAGAGCTAATACTCCTGAGTGGCTGTCTTGAAGATCCCCCTTAGGGGAAGAAGCACCCCCAACTACAGACAGATGCCCTCATCAGGTGCAAATGTTGGCTTTTCCCTGACTCTCACCCTCTAGCCCCTATACCAGCCCACCAAGAACACAACTGGACAGGCAATAAAGGGACCCACAGCCATTACCCAGTCCCTGCCATACCCTGAGCCTCTCCCCTCCAGTTCTTATCCACTTTTCTAGCTGTGGGATCCCATTTTCAGCTCCAAGTTTAGCACCCCACCACTGAGGGGGTAGGAAGTATTCTGAGATCCCAGGCTATATCCTGAATCTCAATTTGTCCATGTTGGGTTTGGGGGAAAATTTGCAGAAGGGGACCAATGAGATGGCTCAAGGTACTTACCACAAAACCTGGTGCCCCGGAGGGCAGCATCCCGGCTGAGAGAACGTTGGCCACCTGGCTCTGAGAACTGAATTCCATAGGCTGTGAGCTCTAGCAAATGCCCTAGGGACTCAGTTCTGGTGCCCGGTTGTGCTATCTCGTCAGTACCAAAGCTACAGGGAACCAGATGGTTCTCACTGACAGTTGCCCAGAAGGTTCTCTTTAATAGCATCGGCTTGGGGTACTCTTGTACTCAAAGGCTTCAGTGGCTTCCCAACCGAATCAATCCTCCTCCCTCACTCCTTTCTCCCCCCCCCCTCTGAGACAGGGTCTTCTATAGCCCAGGATACCTGTACAGCCAAGGCTAGCCTTGAACTCCTAACCTTCCTGCCTCCACCTCCCTGTGTCTGGTGCTGTCAGTCCTCCAGCTGCTGCCATGCTCTCTCTCTCTCTCTCTCTCTTGCTGTCTCCTGCTCAGCTCTTCTTGGGTCCCCTCTTCCTCATCACTATCTATCAGAGTCCTGTCTGTCCTCTGAGGCCTCTTTCAACTTCCCAGTGGAATAGATTCATAAACCCTTACCCTGGTAGTATCTAACCCAGTGTTTTGCACATGGAGGCTCCCTCAACAAACATTCCATGCATTTTTTTTGCATGTGTCTCATGTATGAAGAGGAATTTGACCTAGAGATTAAAGTCAATCAAGTTATACTCTCAGTGTGTGTGTGTGTGTGTGTGTGTGTGTGTGTGTGTGTGTGTGTGCTACATGGAACTAGCTAGACTTATTAGTAGAAATACTTTTAAAGAAATTATACTGACTAGAAATGGATTTCACAGAGATCTGCCTGCCCTGCCTCCCTAATGCTGGGATTAAAGGCATGAGCCACCATTGCCTGGCTCATTCTCATTTTTTTAAAAAAATTTGAGACAGGGTTTCTCTGTGTATCTTTGCCTACCCTTGAACTCACTCTGTAGACCAGTCTGGCTTGGAGCTCACTGAGATCCACCTTCTTCTGCTTCCCAAGTGCTGGGATTAAAGGCGTGTGCCACTACTGCTTGGCTACAGTCTCATTTTGTAACCTATATAGAACTGAGTCAGTTTCCTTGAATATAAATGGAAATAATAATTGCATTACCATCAAAGATTTGTGAGTATAAACTTTAGTGAGTGGATAGATGTCTGCACAGGGCTCTAGCATGGCACCTGGCAGAGCAAACTTCTGAGGAAGTGTGGGAGACTATGGTTCTTATTCTGTTCCTTTAAAAGATAGTATATTTATTCAGTGTGTGTGTGTCTGTGTGTGTGTGTGTGTGTGTGTGTGTGTGTGTAGGGATAGGCATGCTACAGCATGCTTGTGGCGGCCAGAAGACTTCCTGGGGGAGTTGGTTTTCTCCTATCATGTGGGTCCCAGGTACTGAACTCAGATCCTCAGGCTAGGCCTCCAGCGCCTTTATCACCTTTATTGTCTTGCTAGTGCCTTGTTCAATTTTTTTCTTTTTAAAATGTATTTATTATGTATACAGTGTTCTGCCTGCATGTCAGAAGAGGGCACCAGATCTCATAACGGATGGTTGTGAGCCACCATGTGGTTGCTGGGAATTGAATCCAGGACCTCTGGAAGATCAGTCAGTGCTCTTAACCACTGAGTGATTTCTCCAGCCCCTCAATTTTTTTAAAAAACGTAGAGTGGGCATTATTCAATAGTGAGGGCAGTTACCAAATGAAATGGGGCTTGAAATTCATCTGTCAGGCCTTTCTGTGTGATGGCTCCATACCTGATCCCTGGATTGAGTAGTGCCAGGGCAAGGTCAGGAGAAGGCAGCTCTGAGCATCAGGTCTTCTTTGCTCAGGTCCCAGGAGCTGGGACCTCTATATTTCCCTCTACTATGTGACCTTGCATGAACATCCTCTTATAATCACTGGTCCTGACAGAATGTAAACTGAGGCAGGGAGCCTTGAAGAGCAAGTAAACCCTCAAGTCTCAGGCAGCCCGGTGTTTATGATTTAAGAGCTCAGTTCAAAGACATCATACAAGGAAGCATTGGCTCTGCTGGGCTCTGCGGGGGCGGGGACGACGACAACATCTGTCTCTAAAATCCTGTAGTAGGGTTTTCCTCCTTCTGTATGCTGGGGAGAGGATGGGGAAAAATGTGAAGCCAGGGGCAATTATAGGGCATAAGCTATAGGGAGGCAGAGCATCAATCAGCAAGGGGGTGGGGTGGTATTTGAAAAACTTCAAGTGTCTGGATGCAAGAAGAGGGAAAAGGAGCAGAATACGGGCAGCACGTTATGTTGCTGTGGGGCTCACTATGTACTGGTAAACTTCATTTGTTTCAAAGTGAGCTTTGAGCCGGCTGTGGTGACACAAGCCTCTAATCCCAGTATTCAGGAGCTAGATCTCTTGTGAGTTTGAGCTCGAGGCCAGCCTGGTCTACAAAGTGAGTTCCAGGACAGCTAGGGGCTGTCATACAAAGAAACCCTATCCTGAAAAACAAAAACACAACGACATTCATCTGAACATCTAGGTAGGCTAATTTTATGTGTTTTACAGATGTGACAGGGCTCAGAGAGGCGACACGTGGCTAGGAAAATTTCAGAACCAGCTGTAAACCTGGTGACATTTTCCAGTTACTCCCACACTCCAAGACCACCGTAGGTCTCCAGACTGGCAGACAAGTCTAGTAAGATTGCAGACTGCGCCCTGCGGCGGTGCTGCTGAAGAACAGGCACGGTGGCGGTGGCGGTAGTGGTGTCAGGGTGTCAGGGTACCTCACTTCCTTCCCTTCCCTTCCCAAGCTGGGGGCTGCTGTGGCTCCCTGGGTTTCGCGGAGAGGGGAACTGTGGTGCAAGGGAGAGAGGAAGACAAGTGGGGCCCACACAGACGGCCAAGGAGAAGGAGGGAGAGCAGGAGCAGCCAGGTGCGGCTTTCACCCCAAGCCCCTTTGGACAGAAGCCCCTTCCCTCTTTCCCGCACCGTCCATGAGAAACCACGGTGCGGGACGGAAGGTGGGGGGCGGCGGAGGCGCGGGCGCGGTGAGGACTCAGC